CAGTTCTCACTCTTCCTTCCACCTCTCCTACCTCCAGTTCTCACTCTTCCTTCCACCTTTCCTACCTCCAGTTCTCACTCTTCCTTCCACCTCTCCTACCTCCAGTTCTCACTCTTCCTTCCACCTCTTCTACCTCCAGTTCTCACACTTCCTTCCACCTCTCCAAATCTCTACTTCTCACTCTCCTTTTCACCTCTCCTTTCCACTCTTTCTTCCACCTCTCCAACCTCCACTGCTCATTCTTCCTTCTACCTCTGTAACCTCCACGTCTCGCTCCCCGTCCCTTTCTACCTCCATGTCTCACTCCCTCCTTCCCCTCCAGTTCTTACTCCCTCCTCCCTTTCCATTCTCATCTCTACTTCTCACTCTTCTTTCCCTTTATTTTTCACTCTACCCATCTCCCCTCCACCACCTCCTGTAACTTTTATTTTTCTCCATACTCTCCACTCTTTTCACTGTAACTCCTTCCTCCACGGCGACTCCGTCCCTCACATTACCTCTGCTCCCGACTCTCCTGGTGTAGTTTGTTCCTAGCCTCCTTGCTCACATTTTTATCTAACATGTTATCCTTATTTTTTTTTTGTTTGCTGCTGCCCTGCTGGCTATAAGATTCATACAACTAGGCATATTTATACACCATAGAGGGGTTGGCACAACCTACAAATGCAAGTTTTTACAGATGAATCTCCCGCCAGCGTGGCCGTGACGAACTCAGCTAACCTCCCTATGGAGTACATAATGTACCTTAGTTGGACGAATCTTATTGTAGCCAGCTGGCCCAGTGGCTTACGCTCTGGCCTGGAGTTTTACGACTCACTCGCCATGGGTTCTAACTTCACCCGTACTCTGGTTTGTTTGCAATCGTGTTACTACGATTTCGTGAGTCATGATAAGATAAAGCTTAGTCTGAAGCATGGCGGAGAGGATACAACTCTCGAAAACGATCCCAAGTATGTCTGTCTATCTCTCACATGGAGAGGGTTTCGGGGGTTAACGCCTCCGCGTTTCTGAATTTCTGTCCTTTACCTCTTGTGTCACGAGTAGTGGAAGAGAGAAAATAACAAATACACTCACAGAGCGACAGATGGACTTCAACACGAACCATGAAATATACAAGGATAAATATGTAACACCGACTCACGAAATCGTAATAACACAACTGCAAACGATTGGGACTTGAATCCACCCGTTTTAGAACTCTATTGCACGGATTCGATCCCGAACCGTTCTGTGACTTGATAAATATATAATCCGCACATGTATCTAATCAACTATACATTTACCTATGTGTAAGTTTCATAGTTTGTTTTATAGTCTATCCGTTGCTCTGTATTCATTATTTTTCTTTCTCTATTCGTGATGTAATTAGAATTTTATTAACAGTAAAAATATTAATTTCAACATTACAAAATAGCAATACCGGCAGCCATATCAATAATAATAATAATATAATAATAATAAATAATCACAATAATAACATTAAGAATAGGCTAGAATGCACATGCCACAGTAGTAGGAAAAAGGACATTGTTTCTCTACTGACTCACTCTCATGGGCAGCAGTCTGGAATGTCAGCCCCATGTGCACTCAAGAGGCCTTGCAGAAGGTCCGTCGGGGTCATGAACAACCAACTGTTCATTAATGACTCCATAAGGTCTTTGTCAGGGTCAGACCCACAAGGGCCCAATATGTTTCCAAATGGTCTTTGTCATGGTCACGGATCGAGATCGACCGGAGCTCAGTACAAGACTACATAACAGCTCTCAGAGACATGGACCCACTGGCCCAATATGAGTCTTCATAAGGTCTATATTAATACCATGGACCCACATGGGCCCAATATAACTCTTCATGGGAAGAAATTTCGAGCACAAAAAAAAAAAAATGCTGAAACAATATTACTACTTTCCAATGCTCTTGTCAGACCCATCTGGAATGTGCCCATCCACTTCTAGTCCCCTATTCACATTAAAGATGTTCACAAACTCAAAAGCATGAAAGATCAATAAAACTTACCTTTAACAAATAAATCGTAGGAAGCAAAATTTAAATCACGCAGAATGGTCATAAATGCACTAGAAAACGGAGAATGATGACGAGGTTAATCCCGTGCATCAGAATTTTTTCCTACGAGGAGAGAGTGAGGGCACTGAATTTGCACTCTCTGGAAAGGAGTACATTTTGGGGGGATATAACAGAAGTATACCAATAAAAGGTAGGAATAAATAAAGATGATATAAATAACGTGCTGAAAATACCTAACCAAGACAGGACTCAGAACAATGGGTTTAAGTTAGATAAAAATAGATTTATAAATGATATAGGGAAGCACTGGTTTGGTAAAACAGAATTGTGGATGAGTGAAACAAACTCCCGAGTAATGTCATTAAACGAGAACTAAAGTAGTTTTAAAAACATGTTAGACAAATACACGAATGAGTGTGAGTTGACCTGCCTAGCATGAGCCAGTTGAACTGCCGCAGTGCTCCGCCTCTATAATGATCTTGGGGTTTCATTTAGTAAACGGAGGCTACGAAGTGACCTCATGCAAACCTTAAAGAAACTAATTTAATTTGACATACATAACCACGAAAAACTTTTTGGAGCGCAAAATCGACAAAATTACAGGACACAATGGCATGGCACTCCGTCGAATATGGGTAAGCATTTTATCACAGAGTTGTGAACACTGGCATAGTCTTCCCGCAGAGGTTGTTTGTGCCAAAACAAATGCCCATCAGAAATCAGCTATAATTATCACCAACATTATTTCAGCTTAGAAACAATAATAATATTAATATCTTTATTTCCACAAGTACATGTGGGCAACGGAAAACAATATTATGTTCAATGAGGACAAATTCCAACTACTCCGTTATGGAAAACTGGAGGGGATAATAACTAGAACAGAGTATACTACAGACTCTGGCCATACAATAGAGCGGAAAAATAATGTAAGGGACCTGGGAGTAGTAATGTCTGAGGAACTCACTTTCAAGGATCACAACAGTGCCACGATCACAAGTGCAAAGAAAATCATAGGATGGATAATGAGAACGTTCAAAACGAGGGATGCCAAGACAATGATGATCCTTTTCAAATCACTTGTTCTCTCTAGGCTGGAATACTGCTGTACATTAACATCTCCGTTCAAAGCAGGTGAAATTGCAGATCTAGAGAGTGCACTTATAAGTTCTGTCAAGCACCTTAACTACTGGGAACGCTTGGAAGCACTTGACTTGTACTCGTTGGAACGCAGGAGGGAGTGATATATCATAATCTACACTTCGAAAATCCTGGAAGGAATGGTCCCGAATCTGCACACAGAAATCACTCCCTACGAAAGTAAAAGACTGGGCAGGCGATGCAAAATACCCCCATTAAAAGTAGGGGCGCCATTGGTACACTAAGAGAAAACACCATAAGTGTCCGGGGCCCAAGACTGTTTAACAGCCTCCCACCAAGCATAAGGGGAACTACCAATAAACCCCTGGCTGCCTTCAAGAGAGAGCTGGACAGATACCTAAAGTCAGTGCTGGATCAGCCGGGCTGTGGTTCGTACGATGCGGCCAGCAGTAACAGCCTGATTGATCAAGCCCTGATCCATCGGGAGGCCTGGTCGTGGACCGGGCCGCGGGGGCGTTGATCCCCGGAATAACCTCCAGGTAGACTCCAGGTAAGGTATACAGGCCTAGCTAACATCAATGACATACTACTATATAGAAAGCCGCTTATTACGCAGAGCATTTCCGGCAAATTAGGTCAGTTTTGTCCCAGGATGCGACCCACACCAGTCGACCCATTTTATAAGATACCCATTTTATTGATGGGGAACATAGATAACAGGAGTAAGAAACATGCCCAATGTTTCCACTCTCGCTGTGTGAAGCGAGAGATTTAGCCACCAGGCCACGGGGCACCGTAATGAATGCAGAATGTCAGGTTAGCCAAGGTACATCTGAAGCAAAGTGTTTTGAAATTGTAGCAATCATACCTTCCTTGCACCTATATCTCTCCATGGCCGCTTTTCTAATGCGTTAATGATATTTTTTTCCCAGTTTCATGTCGGCAGTGGCCCGAGGAAGTAGAGAGTGGGGAGAGAACCTTCTCATCTACAATCCTTTGCCTCAAGTGGGAGTATACAGTCCTCCATGAACACAGTACGGATGTAGACAGTCTTTCTGCGATACTGATTTAAAAAACCTCAGCTATTTGTATTTCCCATGTACTCCAAGTATAAGGTTAATGTCATGGCCATGGACTACCAAGTCATGCATGACTACTTTGGAACGAGATCTTCATAAATGCAGTTAAATGAAATGCATTTAACTTATTTCGTGAATACAAATCCAATTTCAAATTATAATGCAGCAATCCACACAGGTGGTCATTTACTGCAAATATTACTGCCGGAACGTAAATATATTTTAAAATATAAATATTCATAGAAAGCAAAACAAAATATTAACGAAATGGATAATTACGATTGACTAATCGAATTTCAAAATCGGTAAATGAAAAAACGAATAATTTTGAAAAATAAAATAAAATAACTATATAAATTTGAAAATGGTTCAACTGAGTAATTACTATGAAATTTGATTTGAGTCGAATTACTGAGTTATTGACTGGAAAAACGTGAATCCGAGACTTGGTAAATAACATTTATTATAGATGAATAATACCTGTAGGGGGAAAATAATTTGACAGTTGATAAAATATTTACGACTTAGTCTTTGAGATGCAGATAAAGGAAGTGGACGGGAGGGAGGATGGAACGCGTCCTGGAACATGGAGGTGAAATGGAAAGATGAAAAGGGGAGCAATAGGGAGATGAAAAGGAGGCAATGGAAAGGGAATAGAAATATAGAGAGAACAAGGGAAGAGAAAATGTGAAAAACGATGGAAAATGGAGACGGAAAAGTGTGGATATGGAAAAGTGCAGATGGAAAGAGGGAGAGTAATGAGTTAGGTGTCTGTTGGTCCGTTCATTGACTTACCTTTAAACATGATCGCTGCAGTAGAACTCAAAGTAGCCTGCAGCAGCCTGCAGTAGCAGCAGAAGCAGCAGTAGCAGCGGTGATAACCTCTGCTGCAGTAGAAGAGCGGTTATAATGGCAATACAGCAATTCTCTTGTAGATTCTATCAACAAAGATATCTGCTGTAGGCCCCTAAGGTGGCTTCAGGAGAAGGTTAAACTAGCACCGACACATGTATATTCCCCTACACCGCTAACATACACACTGAGAGGTCAGCAGCGCCTGGCGTAGGGCAGGGTTAATGTGGTATAAGGTGAGACACGGGCGTTGAGAGAGCGACGTAGAGAGAGGAGAGTCATGTGTGTGATCCCGTCAGTGGTTGGTCTAGTACTGATCCCACCACCAGCTCTGTCATCTGCTGCTGCTGCTGCGGCTGCTGCTATTGCTGCTGCTATTGTTGCTGCTGCTGCTGTGGCTATTATTACTGCTGATGCTGTTATTGCTGCTGCTGCTGCTGCTGCTATTGCTGCTGCTGCTGCTATTGCTGCTGCTGCTGCTGCTATTGTTGCTGCTGCTGCGGCTATTATTGCTGCTGATGCTGTTATTGCTGCTGCTGCTGCTATTATTGCTGCTGATGCTGTTATTGCTGCTATTGCTGCTGCTGCTGCTATTGCTGCTGCTGCTGCTATTGTTGCTGCTGCTGTGGCTATTATTGCTGCTGATGCTGTTATTGCTGCTGCTGCTGCTGCTGCTATTGATGCTGCTGCTGCTATTGCTGCTGCTGTTGCTATTGTTGCTGCTGCTGCGGCTATTATTGCTGCTGATGCTGTTATTGCTGCTGCTGCTGCTGCTGCTGCTGCTGCTGCTGCTATTGCTGCTTCTGCTGCTATTGTTGCTGCTGCTGCTATTGTTGCTGCTGCTGCGGCTATTATTGCTGCTGCTGCTGCTGCTATTGCTGCTGCTGCGAGACTTGATGCTGTTATTGCTGCGGCTGCTGCTATTGTTGCTGCTGCTGCTATTGTTGCTGCTGCTGCTGTGGCTATTATTGCTGCTGATGCTGTTATTGCTGCTGCTGCTGCTATTGCTGCTGCTGCTGCTGCTGCTGCTATTGCTGCTGCTGCTGCTGCTATTGTTGCTGCTGCTGCGGCTATTATTGCTGCTGATGCTGTTATTGCTGCTGCTGCTGCTGCTGCTGCTGCTATTGCTGCTATTGCTGCTATTGCTGCTATTGCTGCTGCTGCTACTATTGTTGCTGCTGCTGCTGCTATTGTTGCTGCTGCTGCTGCTATTGTTGCTGCTGCTGTGGCTATTATTGCTGCTGATGCTGTTATTGCTGCTGCGGCTGCGGCTATTATTGCTGCTGTTGCTGCTATTGTTGCTGCTGCTGCGGCTATTATTGCTGCTGATGCTGTTATTGCTGCTGTTGCTGCGGCTGCTGCTATTGCAGCTGCTATTGTTGCTGCTGCTGCGGCTATTATTGCTGCTGATGCTGTTATTGCTGCTTCTGCTGCTGCTATTGTTGCTGCGGCTGCTGCTATTGCTGCTGCTGCTGCTACTGCTGCTATTGCTGCTATTGTTGCTGCTGCTGCGGCTGTTATTGCTGCTGCTGCGGCTGTTATTGCTGCTGCTACGGCTGCTGCTATTGCTTCTGCTGTTGCGGCTGTTATTGCTGCTGCTGCTGAGGCTGTTATTGCTGCTGCTGCTGAGACTGTTATTGCTGTTGCTTCTGCTGCCATTGCTACTGCTGTTGCTACTGCTATTGCTGCTACTGAGGCTACTACTGCTGCTGCTACCGCTGCTGCGGCTATTGCTATTGCCGCTGCTGCTGCTGCTATTGCTGCTGTTGCTGCTGCATACTGCTATTGCTGCTGCTGAAGCTGTTATTGCTGCTACTGCTTCTTGTGCAGCTGCTGTTGCTGCTGATTGTGCTGCTTCTGTTGTTGTTATTGCGCTTCTGCTGCTGCCGCTGTTATTGCCGCTGTTGTTGCTGCTGCTGTTGTTGCTGCTGCTACTGTTGCTGCTGCTACTGTTGCTGCTGTGCTGTTGCTGCAGCTGCTGCCGCTGTAGTTGTTGCTGCTTCTGCTGCTGCTGCTGTTGTTACTCTGCTATTGCTGCCGCTGCTGCTGCTGCTGCTGCTGTTGTTGTTGCGTTGCTGTTGCTACCGCTCTACACATGATAAATGAACCACGTCCTCCAGCGTACCATCCATAATAACTATGTAATTTGTAATTATTCAGGTTGAAATACAAATTACATACATGTACTGTAACTTTATTAACTTCTCTAAATAATGAACTAACCTAAATAAAGAGTTTACCTCAATAAAGAAGTAATGTAAACAGCAGTGAGAACAACGGTCTCTGTTGATGGTGTAAACACAGTGAGAACAACGGTCTCAGTTGGTGTAAACAACAGTGAGAACAACGGTCTCTGTTGGTGTAAACAACAGTGAGAACAACGTTCTTTGTTGATGGTGTAAACAACAGTGAGAACAACGTCTTTGTTGATGGTGTAAACAACAGTGAGAACAACGTTCTCTGTTCATGGTGTAAACAGCAGTGAGAACAACTGACTCTGTTGATTGTGTAAACAGCAGTGAGAACAACGGTCACTGTTGACTTGTGTAAACAGCAGTGAGAACAACGGTCTCTGTTGATTGTGTAAACAGCAGTGAGAACAACGGTCTCTGTTGATGGTGTAAACAACAGTGAGAACAACTGACTCTGTTGATTGTGTAAACAGCAGTGAGAACAACGGTCTCTGTTGATTGTGTAAACAGCAGTGAGAACAACGGTCACTGTTGATCGTGTAAACAGCAGTGAGAACAACGGTCTCTTTTGATTGTGTAAACAACAGTGAGAACAACGGTCTCTTTTGATTGTGTAAACAGCAGTGAGAACAACGGTCACTGTTGCTGGTCAAAACAGTACTGACAACAACATTCACTGTTGATGATGGTGGTATGCCTGAACAATTTACCTTAGTCACTACAATAATGTAAAGACAAAAGACCCTTGGGACAGAATAAGCTTTTAGTGGGGCTACATTTCGCTCTACAGGGTGCTTCTTATAGCGAAACGTTGTCCTGGCGAAAGACTGTTGAATTTAACGTGTCGTGTGCAACATACTGCTGCACTTTTATCAAGATTGACGGACTGAACACATCGACTCCAGGCTGAGGGACTGATTACCTAAAACTCCTCTTCATCTTCCACCTTTCTCTGCAGTGGACTGAAGAAGTCAACAGTTAGCGAAACGTTTCCACAATAAAGATAAAGGTACCCAAATGTAGCGCAAGTGTCTCATTTATCAAAAATACTACTACTACTACTACTACTACTACTACTACACTAATACTATAATTAATAATAATAATAATAATAATAATAATAATAATAATAATAGCTTTTATACCAGCTATTTAAAGAACTCCAGTAAATTTCATTGGAACACAGAGGTCGATGTTTAAAAAAGTAATAATTTGAACTAGTCATTTGAAGTAACTAGCAGGGGTAAATCCCCCCTGTTACACAGCCTACCTGTAATTTCTCCCAGGAAACTTTGGGAGATGACGAGACTTGAGTTAAACCATCTAGTTGATAAAGCACCTAAGTTCTTGACTGTTTGAAGATATTAGTGAATAAATTAACCTAAGGGGAACAATATCACAGAGGGAGCCAGCAGTGTATGTAGTCAGTCAGTCAGTCAGTCAGTCAGTCAGTCAGGCTGGATGGTTAATGAGGAAGGAAGGCTATCAAGTACAAATTATGCTCTGTGTGTATATATACATACATTTTAATATCCCTTAAGACGAGGCTGCGGTTGTTCCTACTAGGCCTCAAGATTAGGCTGCGGTTGTTCCTACTAGGCCTAAAAATGAGGCTGCGGTTGTTCCTATAAGCCTCAAGAGCGGCTGTTCTTATTAGGGCTCAAAATTAGGCTGAGGTTGTTCTCTTAGATTTCCTGCGGGAAAGGAGAGAGAAGGATATCGATTTGTAAGGGTGTACTCTGCCATGTCACAGATAAATACAGTCGTTTCTTGGAAAATATAGTGACTGAACACAGTGGAATACATGGGAAAGAGATAGCAGAGATCTTTGAAGTCCACACCGAGGCTATCAGCTGAGAACTACCTACTTCCACATAGAGTAAGGACTGTCGTGCATCTCTGAATGTATGAGTCAAAGATAGAAAGGCAGAAGGCTCGAACTTTAACATTGAGTCTTCTCCTGACCTGTGGTACAATGTGGCTATCAAAAGAGGAAAGGTGCCACAAACATTGGACAAAACCAGAGTTCAGTCTTCTTAAAAGATGAGCACTCCATTTAGTAGTGTTCATTGGTTATAAGAAGGCTCGAAACACTTATGTTCAAGAGTTCGGGTGGGTTCAAGTCGGACTCAGCGTTGTCATGACGTTTCTATGTGCGGGCTATTTGCTCAGTGTTATGCAGACATAAGTTGTATTACTTCCAGTGACACCATTTCTTAGGCTGGCAATGTTTAGTTGCTTCTACACGTAAAATACATCGAAGGAACAAGAATTAACCTGACGACTTTGTGCTTTTCATTGGCTTGAGTCTGGAGCACAGGAGAGCACAGAGCATAATGAACAAGGAATACAGTCGTTGCCAGGTACATGATCTTCACACTTCTCAGAATGACCAGCAGACTGACGGAACACAGACCAGGACGTGAGTACCAGGCAATGGTTCCAGCCTCCACCACTCCTCGCGCTGAATGATCCAAACGGGTTTAGTGTTTCACATGCATTTAAGATTATTATCCTTATTATAATCATAACTGAACGCTAAACCCACAAGGGTCTTACAGCGCAGCACATTAAGAAAATAGCAATTTTGGTGTCTGGCCCCACAATAAACGTGGGGATGGAACCATGATACAGCTTTAACATAATATTAGAGCAAAAACTTAAAGAATATTTTATTATTACTTTAAATAAGGTGAGAGACTTAGGGTGTGGCTGTTTCTTGCGCTCGCCTGCCCCCTCCCCTATCCCCCTCCCCCTTCCCCCTTCCCCTTTTCCCCTCCCCCACTGGATGAAATGACGTTTATTCCACAAGTATTAAGATACAAAGCATCAACTACGTTTTTCTCTGTGTAAAGCCCAGTGGTCTTTAGCGCTTAGTTTTGATTGTAATAATCTGAGTAAAGCTCCAGACGGAGCGAAACATTGCTGAACACGTTTCCTGATCTTCATCCTGCCAGACTCATAAACACCATCAAACATACATGTTAATACGACTTTAGTAGACCACTTGCTCAATTAAGAATAATTTGAGTGTTGGTATTCCCACTGGTGCGAGTTACAAAGTCATTAGCACAGGTAATCATGTAATGGCGGAGTTACATTAGTAG